TTAAAGAGTTAAACTGCAGGTCATCTCCGGTTGCTGCCGGCGTAGAGGGAGACGCATCACTGCCCTCACTTGGTGCATGGTCCACCTGTTGGGCTGCATGTTCCACCTGTTGGGCTGCATGTTCCACCTGTTGTGGTCCTCATCTAGTGCGTCATGGTCCTCGTCTAGTGCGTCCTGGTGCTAAATGTACGTCCGTAGTGCGTCCTGGTGCTAAATGTACCTCCGTAGTGCGTCCTAGTGCTAAATGTACGTCCGTAGTGCGTCCTGGTGCTAAATGTACGTCCGTAGCGCGTCCTGGTGCTAAATGTACGTCCGTAGTGCGTCCTGGTGCTAAATGTACCTCCGTAGTGCGTCCTGGTGCTAAATGTACGCCCGTAGTGCGTCCTGGTGCTAAATGTACCTCCGTAGTGCGTCCTGGTGCTAAATGTACGTCCGTAGTGCGTCCTGGTGCTAAATGTACGTCCGTAGTGCGTTCTGGTGCTAAATGTACGTCCGTAGTGCGTTCTGGTGCTAAATGTACGTCCGTAGTGCGTCCTGGTGCTAAATGTACGTCCGTAGTGCGTCCTGGTGCTAAATGTACGTCCGTAGTGCGTCCCCGGGCGCTGCCCAATGGATCCCTTTGCCTTCATAAAGAGAAGGAAGAGTTCGCAAACTAAGTCGTTAACTTTTTGGAAATTTCGGATCCACGCTTTAACTTTTTTTTTCTTGAGAGTTTTCTCACTGGACGACAGAAAATGGAAAAAGAGGAATGTTATTTCTTGATAGAGCCGTAGAGTGTCCTTCGGCTCTATGCTCTTGTGTGCCTCATTCCATTTCCATTAGAGCCCCCAGTCTTTTGGCCTCTATTGGCAGAGTTTCTTTCACCCTGATGCACCTGCTCGCCTAGCAGTAAATAGGTACCTGGGAGTTAGACAGCTGCTACGGGCTGCTTCCTGGGAGGGGGAGGGGAGGGTGTAACTAAAAAAGGAGGCCTGGTCGAGGACCGGGCCGCGGGGACACTAACGCCCCGAAATCATCTCAACATAACCTCAAGATAGATCCCCCAACATAACATAATTAGTGAAAGGTGGGTGGCCAAGCCCCTAGAGTTCTTGACCGAGGGAGAGACATAGGGAAGAAGATAGGGGGGAGACAGGGAAGAAGGGGAGCAGAGAAGAGGGTGATTGGGGAATGAGGTGGGAGGAGACGGAAATAAAAGAAGGGGGGATGGGAGACCCGGACGCAACCGGGTACTATACCTAGTATACACACTTCAGAACAAAGCAATGCTTTCGAAAAAAAAAAGTTCGAACGTCATCAATCGTGAGTCGTATGTAAAGCATTTTGGTTTATTTATTTTCACTCATAAACGGGCTTTAGTGGTTGGATTTAATAAGTATATGACCATTATTTAGGAGGACATGCTGGCGAGATGTTTATTAGCACGAAGAACCGTCCATATTATGACGCATTTAATTTCATTACAGCACTGTAATTTGGACGTAATGACCATTAGCGGAAAAAATACAGTGCTTTAGTATTTTTGGACAAATTAATATGCAACAATAAGGAGTTATTTGCATGTTAGTATTATAAAATATGACGTCCTGTGTATAATTATGTATTAAAACTCTCTCTCACACACACACACACACACACACACACACACACACACACACACACACACACACACACACACACACACACACACACAGCAGCAGCATATGCCAGGTTGGCTAACATAAGAACGGCCTTTAGAAACTTGTGTAAGGAATCTTTCAGAACATTATATACCACATATGTCAGACCAATCCTGGAGTATGCGGCACCAGCATGGAGTCCATATCTAGTCAAGGATAAGACTAAACTGGAAAAGGTTCAAAGGTTTGCCACCAGACTAGTACCCGAGCTGAGAGGTATGAGCTACGAGGAGAGACTACGGGAATGAAACCTCACTTCGTTGGAAGACAGAAGAGTTAAAAAATAAAATGTTTATTTAGGTAAGGTACATACATACAATAAATTTTTACAAAGATTGGTTGACTTATAGGTAGAGCTAGTACATACAATGCCTAAAGCCACTATTACGCAAAGCGTTTCGGGCATGATAAACTTAAATGACAAGCTTAATACTAATTGAGCATAATGAGTAGAATGAAAACAAGAAATGAAAACATAGCTGAAAAAGCAGCACAAATACAATTATGTCGACAAACAGCGCTCTTTAAAAAAAACAGACATTGGTTGACAATAGAAGGGTAAGGTAGGTTACAGGGAATTTATTAGGTATAGCTTCGTTTTTATCTTAAACTGGTTGAGAGAGGTACAGTCTTTAACATGGTTGGGAAGGTCATTCCACATTCTGGGCCCCTTGATTTGTAGAGCATTTCTAGTTTGATTAAGTCGTACTCTAGGAATATCAAAACTGTATTTATTTCTGGTGTGGTGCTCATGGGTTCTGTTACAACCTTCTATGAAGCTTTTGAGATCAGGATTGGCATTATAGTTTAGTGTTTTATATATGTATAATACACATGAGAGAATGTGCAGTGACTTAATGTCTAACATATTCAGAGATTTGAGTAGGGGTACCGAGTGATGTCTGGGGCCAGAGTTGGATATTGTCCTAATAGCAGCTTTGTGTTGAGTAATTAGAGGACGTAAGTGATTTTGGGTAGTAGAGCCCCAAGCACAAATACCATAGTTGAGATATGGATAGATAAGGGAGTAATAGAGAGTCACCAGGGCAGGGCGTGGTACATAATATCTGATCTTAGAAAGAATGCCCACAGTTTTTGAAACTTTTTTTTATATATTTAGAATGTGTCCCTGGAAATTCAGCTTGTGGTCAATGAGAATGCCAAGGAATTTGCCATCTAATTTGTTACAAATTTGGGTATTGTTTATTTTGAGATTTATTTGATTAGAGGATTTATTGCCAAACAGAATATAGAAAGTTTTGTCAATGTTAAGGGTGAGTTTGTTGGCAGTTAGCCAAAGATGGACTTTATTTAGCTCAGTATTTACTGTGGCATTTAGAGCAAGGGGGCCAGGACTGGAGTAAATGAAGGTTGTGTCGTCAGCAAATAGAATTGGTTTGAGGTGTTGGGAGGCATTTGGAAGGTCATTAATGTAGATGAGAAAGAGGAGAGGGCCAAGTATGCTGCCCTGAGGAACACCAATGTTGATGGGTAGGGTGGGAGAAATTGTATTATTCACAGAAACATATTGGAGCCTGTCAGTAAGGTAGGATTTGAGGCATTGTAGGGAGTGTCCTCTGACTCCATAATGATGTAATTTAAGAAGAAGGTTTTGGTTAGGGGGGGACATGATCACCACATTCAAGATCCTCAAGGGAATTGACAGGGTTGATAAAGACAGGCTGTTTAACACAAGGGGCACATGCACTAGGGGACACAGGTGGAAACTGAGTGCCCAAATGAGCCACAGAGATATTAGAAAGAACTTTTTTAGTGTCAGAGTGGTTGACAAATGGAATGCATTAGGAAGTGATGTGGTGGAGGCTGACTCCATACACAGTTTCAAGTGTAGATATGATAGAGCCCAATAGGCTCAGGAACCTGTACACCTGTTGATTGACAGTTGAGAGGCGGGACCAAAGAGCCAGAGCTCAACCCCCGCAAGCACAACTAGGTGAGTACAACTAGGTGAGTACACGCACACACTCGCACTCACACTCTCGCGTTATACGACAAAGAGTACTGGGAAGACGGGACACCACGAGCGTAGCTCTCATCCTGTAACTACACTTGATCCCCTGCTCTAAATGCCACAGTAAATACTGAGCTAATTAAAGTCCATCTGTGGCTAACTGCCAACAAACTCACCCTTAACATTGACAAAACTTTCTATATTCTGTTTGGCAATAAATCCTCTAATCAAATAAATCTCAAAATAAACAATACCCAAATTTGTAACAAATTAGATGGCAAATTCCTTGGCATTCTCATTGACCACAAGCTGAATTTCCAGGGACACATTCTAAACATATCAAAAAAAGTTTCAAAAACTGTGGGCATTCTTTCTAAGATCAGATATTATGTACCACGCCCTGCCCTGGTGACTCTCTATTACTCCCTTATCTATCCATATCTCAACTATGGTATTTGTGCTTGGGGCTCTACTACCCAAAATCACTTACGTCCTCTAATTACTCAACACAAAGCTGCTATTAGGACAATATCCAATTCTGGCCCCAGACATCACTCGGTACCCCTACTCAAATCTCTGAATATGTTAGACATCAAGTCACTGCACATTCTCTCATGTGTATTATACATATATAAAACGCTAAACTATAATGCCAATCCTGATCTCAAAAGCTTCATAGAAGGTTGTAACAGAACCCACGAGCACCACACCAGAAATAAATACAGTTTTGATATTCCTAGAGTACGACTTAATCAAACCAGAAATGCTCTACAAATCAAGGGGCCCAGAATGTGGAATGACCTTCCCAACCATGTTAAAGACTGTACCTCTCTCAACCAGTTTAAGTTAAAAACAAAGCTATACCTAATAAATTCCCTGTAACCTACCTTACCCCTCTGTTGTCAACCCATGTATGTTTTTTGTTTTATTTTTTTGTTTTTCAAATCAACGCTGTTTGAATGTAATTTTCTGTAATAATTTGTAATTGTATTTGTGCTGCTTTTTCAACAATGTTCCCCCTCTTTTACCTCTATTTTTATTTGTTCTCAACACATTTTATTCTTTTTACCCATTAGTTTTAAGCTTTAGTCATTAATGTTTTTCCTGCCCGAAACGCTTTGCGTAATAGTGGCTTTAGGCATTGTATGTACTAGCTCTATCTATAAAGCCAACAAACTTTGTAAAATCTCTTTATGTATGTACCTTACCTAAATAAAAATTATTATTATTATTATTATTACTTGGGTAATTACACTTAGGTAATTACAATAATGACTGGCTGGCAGCCAGAGGGTAGGTATGGCTAGTGGTGACTGATGTCTATGTTCCCTCCCCCCCTCCCTGGCCAGACGGACACTGTGGGAGTGGAGATCTTCACCTGGGACACCTTCCTCGTCTTCTACCACATGCTTACCAACAGGCTCGAGGTGGAGAAGGTCTTCTGTTCTGTGTGAGTACTGGTGGTGGTGGTGTGTTCTGTGTGAGTACTGGTGGTGGTGGTGTGTTCTGAGTACTGGTGGTGTGTTCTGTGTGAGTACTGGTGGTGGTGGTGTGTTCTGTGTGAGTACTGGTGGTGGTGGTGTGTTCTGTGTGAGTACTGGTGGTGGTGTTCTGTGGTTATGGTAGTGTTATGGCTGTGTGGTGTTCTGTGGTTGTTGTGTGGTGTTCTGTGGTGGTGGTGTGTGTAATAGTAGCTGTGTTCTGGCAGGTAGTGAGGATGATGGCTGAATGACTTGATATCTAAGAGTCAGGAGCCCATATGATCAGGAGTGTGTAGTGTAACTATAGTATTAACCTTGCAGAACTGACCAGCCATTCAGCGCCAGCAAGAGGACCAAGCTCCGAGGAATGAGTGTAGAGCAGTTGGTAAAGTTCCTGAACGAGGAGCAGAGGGATCCTCGCCTCAATGAGATCCTCTACCCTTATGCCGACACTGCCAAGGCTACGGAGGTCATCAGGGACTACGAACCTCTCAAGGAAAATATTAGTAAAAGTAAGTCGCAGGCATGAACCAGACACTGTTGGGTTTTTTTATGCATTACATCTAAAGATCGGGGGTCTGAATTATTTGTTATAATTAAATACCTTCCTAACAGGATATGGACATGGCATTTAAAAACTCTTCCAGTTCCTCAGAGGTGGGGAGTATGCCCCCCCTCACTCCAATACAGTTGGCATATTCTCTATGGATCATGACACTGCATGCTCTTTAATCTCTAGGCCAGGATTAGTCAGGCATTTAAACAAGTATTTAAGAAACCTGTGCATCTGTTCTTAATTATGGTGGCTTTGTTTACATTTACTAACAGGTTATGAGCTTGGAAACTTCACAATCTTTTCACAAAGTTTAACAAAGTTTTTATTGTTACGCACAAACTTTTAGAGCTTCGGAACTCGTAAACTGTTTAATAAATGTAAACAAGACAGAGATGCTTGAGGGAAGATGTACAGGTCATCAGTGGTTGTGTAAATGCTTGATGAATCCTGGCCCTGGTTTGACTAATCTAAGTGCATATTTACACAACCAGAAGCTAAGGGTTTTGATGCTTATTGGCACAAACCTGTAACATCTTGAGCTCCTATGCTTTCTGGTATTGTGTGGGTCTCCCTGCTTGTGGAGTCCCATCCACCTAATAATTTTCATTGATACAAAGATTATATGATTTTTATAAAAGATACAGTGAAGAATTCTTTTACTTGAATTTACCTGAGAGTCACTATCTTGTGGCCTAGATGATGACAGGAGGATGGCAGCTTGTCAAAGGTCCCCTCATTTGTCCTGATGCTTTTATTGAGCTGGATCTCAAATTGCAACAGTCTTTTGACATTAATGGCTTTGGTGAGTAGGCGGATCCATGGGTTTATAACGCTATGGGTGAAAAAGCATCTCTGTTTTCTATCCTGCATTGTGGTTATAGAGTTTGAAACCATTGCTCCTTGTTTGTGTTACATTTGACATTTTAAAGATGGGGTCTGGATAAATATCCTCTAAATTGTTCATTACTGTATTTTAAAAGTTTCGAGATAAACTCTGTCATGTCTGGTTTACAATACAGTATTGTTAGTCCTCTGACCCTCAACTATTCCAGGTATAAGAGTTGACTTGATTCAGGAAGGATTTTTATTTCCCAGAGTTGATTTTTTTCCAAAGTATATGTGTCTTTCTGAACTTGAGGTCTCCGTGCTTGGATACAATGATCCACTTGAGTTGTAAAGTTGAATAACTACCATCTTTTCCCCTGAAGTCAAAGTTTTGTTTGACTATTCCTAGGATTTTTTTGCTGCAGCTCCCACTTGTTGCATAACTTAGTGATTAGTTGATTCTGATTTCAAGGTCCTTTTCTTCATCAACGTGCTGCAAGATAATGTTATTATTTTTTGTAACTGTGATGTGCATTATACCCCAGGTGCAAGGTTTTGCATTTTTTGACGTTAAAAATTATTTGCCACTCCACTTATGGAGTTTATATACTTCTTTGTGAGGCCTCAATATCATTGTCACTTCCTACTTTCCCATAAATCTTAGTATCATCTGCAAATTTGATGATGTGATTTATAATATTCTTGTCTATTGTCATTTATGCATATGATAAAAAGGGTTGGTCCCCAAAATGGAACCTTGAAGTACTCCACTTCCCACATTTCTACAGTCAGATTCATTTCTGTTCAGGACACTACTTTGCTTTCTTTGTTTTTTAACCATTTCTAGTATTTTGCCATTTATTCAATCTGCTTGTACTATTTTTGCCAGTCTTTCACGTGGTACCTTTCTCAAAGGCTTTAGCAAAGTCCTTTGTATGATCTTCAGAAAGTGAATAACTGGTTACCATTTCCAAAAATGTGAGCAGGTTTGTAATGCAGAACTTTTTTAACAAAACCATATTGTGTGGATTTTACCAGATTGTTCGTGGTGAGATGGTAAATGAATCCTTCCCTTTAGGATTCTCTACACGAGCTTGCAGAGATGTGAAATAAAACTGATCAAATGGTAGTTTTCATGGGTAAACAACAAGCTATATCACGGCTCTAATTGCAGAGCATTTTGGGCATGACTTAAAGGTAATTAGGTAGTTTAAAAGTTTAATGGTGTAACACTGAATACTAAATGATAAGTTATCATATTTAAATTGTTAAAATTATTTACAATTTTTAAGTGATATTTAGAAACTGTAGATTTAACAAAAATTCAAATGTAGTATTTAACGTTTGTAATAACTTTCAGATATTTCACATATCAGTCAGTGAGGTGGTACATGCGTGTTCCAAGCAACCTAGACCAGGGTCTGTCAAGCACTGAGTGTTCACTTACAAATTCTGTGCATATTTCCTCAACCATGGTCTCTTAGTCAGTGTGTATTAAAGGTTTACGAGCTTGAAAACGTCACAACCAAAGGTTGTTATTGTTATAAACATGCTTGTAGTGCCTCAGAGGTCAAACTCTTTAGCACAGATTAAGCTGCCATGATTAAAGAAATAATAATAATAGTTCATTTTATTGGGGACAAACAGCATGTGTGTGTGTATGTATATTCATTATACTAATATTGAGGCTCCCTGGCCTGATATTGAGGAGGCCTGGTCGACGACCGGGCCGCGGGGACACTAAGCCCCGGAAGCACCTCAAGGTAGCCCCAAAGGTTGAATTGCTCTGACCCTCCACAGGATGAAACCCTACAACAGTTGACCAATTACCAAGGTACATATGTACTCTTAGCTGAAGAGAGGCATTAGATGATAGGAAATGTGCCAAACTATTTCTGTCCTGCTGGGGGACTTGTAAGTGGGACACTTAAGTGCTTGATGACTACTGATTCTGTTTACCATCCCTTAGAGGTTGAAGAGTAACCCCCCTCCCCCTCCACCTCCCTTAACTGGATGTTTCTGACTACTGTCAGGTCTGCACATTTGGGGTTACCTTTGTGCTGAACATCTGCCTGTAACAAAGCTTCTCTTAATGATTGCTTTGTGCCCAGCAATCTTTGACCAGTGACCAAATACACCATAGTGGTCATATTGGTCTGCTAATGCACTGTTGTAGATACAGCTGTTCTTAGTGAAGATAGAGGTGGCACAGTTAAGGTGAAATATTTTCAGGTTTTTCGACAATTCAAAAATGTTGCTGAACTGTATATCATTTGTTAAATTTCCTGAGCAATTTATGTTAGCTTCTTATTTAGTATATTAAATGTCTCCTTCATCAAACTATTAAACAACCTAACTGTATTGTTACTTGTTAGTCCCAAAATGCTTTGTTTATTAGTGGCCTTGTTAGATATTCATACAGTGGTTCAATAATTGTTACAGAGTATCATATTCTTTTGCATATTTATTAAATACAAATTATCTATTATTTATATGACAATGATGCAAGTGATTACACATGCATGACAAACTTTACAAAATGGAAATACAATTATCCAAACTTTTTTTGTGTAGGATGAATTGTTAACAAGACCCAATCCTATCAACTCTGTTGCTCTCTGACCATGATACTCCTACCTCATGGGGGTCCTCTGTTACACCTTGCCACTTCCACTGGTCCTGTGCAATGCCTTGCCAACCCCATGGGTCCTGTGTAACACCTTGCCAACCCCACAGATCCCATGTAATGGCTTGCTGACTCCACAGGTTCTATCACATCTGCACGAGTACCTACTACTAGTGTATGGCATCTTTCTCGAGTACTCTTTAAAATGTTCCTTGTCCTTCTTGGCCCAAGCTAATAATAAACTTGACTGTATTAATAGTATTTTAAGTTTTAAGTTATTTTTAATAGGGTAAACACATTATTCTGGTTCAAATGGGCATTGAGCATCCTATTGTATTCTCTCATTTTGATTCCAAATAGTTTGTTTCTATCATCGTTGTAAGATTTTTTTCCATCATATGTTAAAATATTACTGATATGAAGTCTCATTTCTTCAGTGGCATGAGATTAATTTACCCACTTACAGCAGGTTCTTTATCGTGGGAGCAAAGCCTATAGTGGGTGTGTTGAGAGTATACAGAGAGAAAAAAAAACAAAAAAACCATTACTGTGTAAGCAGAAAAATATTGCCTGCGTGGTGAAGTAAATGTCAGTTTAATATAGTGAGTAAACAGCATCAGCAATCCCCAGATGCCAGAGGCACTCTCCAGAATGAAGTTACTTCCTCTCTGTGGTCTGGGTGGCTCATGCATCACACCCAAGCTTTGGAGTAAACTCATTTCTTTCCCAATATGCATTGCATAAAAACAAACATGGAAAAGTATATATATACCTTTTTTAAATGACCTCTTCACCGAGGCATATGAAGTATTTGAAGTACTGTACTGTATTTTCAAAAACTCACCGTTGGATACAGTAAGTAGGTAGGTTTGTATTTCCTATAAGATGTGCATATCATCTTTGCATAGGTGTGAATTAGTAAATATGAAGACTTCATCGATCAAATATGAGATGGAAGATGATAGCTAATACTATTATACTACAAAAACTGTCAACGTGCCTCACTAATGATGTAATATTGGCTTTGCCACAAAAGCAATGGATACAACATCATTGAATCTTTAGACTAGTGAACTAGAGAGATTAAGCAGCATTTTCTCACTTTTATTGCCACAAGAAAAAACTTTGAAAGAAAAACTCCTTTTCTGTACCCTGCTGTGAGACACTCGGCTTACCTTGACCAAGTACTAATGTTGCTATTTATTCCTCAGTCACCATCAAAATGTGTAAGATATTGCTGCAGCTTCTCGATGCAACATGGTACACTGCTGTATATTCTGAAAAGTTGCTCACCGGTACATACTAAAAACATTTCGTCCCACAGAAACCAGAATTAGCAAAAGTTGCTTTGAAAATTTTTATGATAATGCTGATGGTGTCAGTTAATAAAGTAAGGTAATTATCAGAAGACAGTACTAGCATGATCACATGGCACTTGGAAGGTAAATAAGAACAGGGATCTAGGATGTGAGGACAGGGCAAAGGAATGGTACTCAGTGGATAAA